TTCCAGAAAATCCACCATTTACACTAGTTAAAATCCGCAAGTGACCCATCCCCCATGCTGCAGAGGAGCAATGTAAGTTGCAATCAATGTAAATTGATTCCTAATTAATGTGTGTAGTATCTGGACTAGGTTCTCTCCTCCTCCTCTGGCAACTGTATACCACTCTCAGGTGGTGGCCGGCTGAGGATTCCTGTGGACATGGGGAGCTCTCAGCTGATGTAAAGTGGAAAAGCCAGCTTCTGTGGCAGTTGCCCCCCCTACACACATACACACACTAATATGGGGTGTCCTGGGGAGAGGCACAGCATGCCTGCACAACACCAATTCACAATTGTAGTATGGTCCCATTGCGCTCATAGCCAGTTGGCATTAATTAGAGGAGCCTTGAGCCTTGATGCTGCAAAGGTACCATAAGAATCAAGAAGGCTTAAGTTGCTCCCTGATGACACCGTCTGTACTGACTGTATCTTGGCTCAGGACACAGTCTGTGCCTGTATCTATTGAATTTTCATCTGGGTGAATGTAATGCTTGTGAAAAGGTGCTGGGTTGATCACCTTGGAGGATAGACCAGTCCATCTACCTCAGAACAGGTACGGCGTGGTCAGCAGCAGTTCTCCTCACTGAACCTGCCTTGTGCCTTGGCCCTCAACAGGGAACCATGTTTTAAGTAAGAATGCAGTTCAGTTTCCATTTCCGTTCCTCTACTCATATCGCCAACTGTGGTGATAGGAATGCTTGTTCCCTGACAGTTAGGTTGACCACTGACTAATTTCACATAGTCCATTAGACATGTTTCTGATAGTACTGACTTTCAGTCACTACTGACCTGGACCAGATTTGATTTGAACTAATGAGCTACAGGTTCTAAAGGCTGTATATATCATTACCAAATCCCTGAGCCATCCAATTTCCCAAGATACTATATATATATCTGATATCCCACTGAAGGGCCCTTATCATCAGGAGAAGATACTGATTCTTTCATGTGAGAACTGACACTAAAAATGCATTAGTAAATTAATGACTTAAACATGAGCAAAGCTAACATCTTTGAGCCAAAGTCTGTTCCTTGTTACACCTGTTCTACTCCACTGAAGTCAGTAATAGATCTAAATGAATGTAACTGAGAACAGAATTTGACTGTCTATAATTTATCAACATATCCTAATATTTATTATTTTGTGATTTCCTTTTGTTTCATACAGCAGCTTTTGTAAGCTGCCATGAAAACTAAGAAATATAATGTTTTCTGTAGCCAAATAGTCTATATTTTGTATCCTACTGGTATTCACCTTCCGTAACTACTGAATAGGTTATTAAAGAACAAAGGGGATTCTTTCTTGATAATAAAATAATGCATGTTAGCCTTTACAAAGTGGATATGTAAGTTATTTCATTATCATAAGACAGGAACAGTTCATTGTCTGCAAAGATCCTCACAGAAATTATTGTGCTTAAATCTTTTCTGTGTGGGGGAGTTTTATATGTAATTGAGTTTACTTCCAGAATTATAATTAAGGAAATATCATATTGTAACTTTTTGCCCACGTGTATTAAGAATTATATTACATGACTTCTTATTCCAAGGTCAGCATAAAGTATTAATATGATATGCAAACACAGTTCTCTTGCAAATTAAACTGTGGGGGGAAGTTCTTCTTAATGAATTTGTCTAATACATTAGTATGATTCCCTTAATTGTTCCTACTCCCACACCCAAACCTCCCAATTTACATTTCCTTTATATACTTGCTGTTATCTGAAGATTGTTTTAGGAGACTAGCGATATCTGGTGTTGTTCCTTAAAGCTCCAGCTTCTGGAGTAATGTTATTACATGAGAATCTCCACTCTCTCTTTTCTAAAAATGTTTCTGGTCCTCATGGTTACAGAATGAGGCTTGTAAACATGAACCATAATAGCACAAAACCCAGTGGCAAATAAAAATAACACAAAATGTATTATTGTAATAAAACAAAACAAAAAACAAAAAAGAGGGGGGTGGGGTGGTTTAATCCAGTCTCATGATTTTGGGAGCCAGACTCATGATGGCTTACTGCTTGGGGTTGGCAATACTGAACACTGTTCAAAGGAGAAGGAAACCCAGAAAAGGGAGGCATTATGTATTCTATAAAGTGGAAACAGTACATCAGCATAAGCTGAAAGGAAAGGTAAAAAAATACTTTGCATATCATTCCAACTCTATCAGTAATTCCCACATCTTTGCTCATACAGTATTGTAGTAATGTGTTAGAGAAAAGAAAACCCAGCCCATCTTCTGTCTTTTATCAGATGAAACCATTGACCTTGGCATTAATACATATATAAAAAGGCAATCATCTATCATAAAATATCTTTAACTTATTCCTGAAAACAAATGTCTTTGCCTCAGTTTCAGTAATAAACATTAAGTGAGAGAATGATGACTTTCCATTCCTTTTGATCACATGTGTTCCAACTGTCAGGAACACATGAAACATCTTTTCCACCCTTCCTAGTTCCCTTTGTATAAAGGTAGGAACTATATCCACATAAGACTTATGTGTAGCAAATTTAAAATTATGAGCATCCATTGCAGTATGTTCAGTTTTCAATGCTGGGAACTTCAGTTTTATTTGGTTCAATGATTTTAGTTAAAATTTGGTGTGGATACCTTTCTTCCCAATAATGTATTTAGTATAGTTTATTTGCTGTGACCCCCCCCCCATATTAAATACCTTAACAAGGTGTGATTATATTGATGTACTATTTTATATTGTACTTGCATAAGGTTATAAGCTATTGAGGTTCCAGGTACATAGAATATACTAGTCAGCTAACTGCGTGTCTACCACTGTGACTTACACTATCTTTCAGCCCAGCCAGAGTTTTTGTTGTTATTTTAACAGTGTACAATACAGTATCAGAAATAGCCCTGTGCAGTCAGTCCATACATCCATTCTAGCTCTTGACAGCAAATAAAGGATGAAATCCCCCATTAAAACTAATGGGAGTTTTGCCATTTATGTAATAGATCCAGGATTTCACCCAAAACCTCATGTTTATCCCTCCATGTCTCTGTCCAAACATCCCCATTTAATTTATCCAAAGCAAAGCTGAAAGTTGGAAACAAACAAAAAAAAGGCCATGTAACTCAAATTTAGAAATCAATAGTTCATTTAATAAAATATTTAAGATTTAGCTAGTCTGTGGGACAAAAGGCACTATGTAAGTGTTTTAAAGGTGGTATGCATACGGATCACTTCATTCAGCCTACACTGGAATATGGTATCTGTTCTGTGTCAGTAACAGTATACAGCATTGTTTAAGGGAAGGGAAGAACTTTGACAACTGAAATTACAGGGAATTTTAAGTGAGTGGACTGTCCACGGTAACTTCCAACATTTGAGTTTGTCTGGAATACTGGGGATTACATCCCTCCTCTTTCAGAAAGTACTATGAGATCAGTGGTAAGGACCACAGTTTTGTGTGTCATCCAAAAAAATGGTACTAGCAGTAATACAATTCCCCCTTAAACTATGTCAGGGCATGCGTTCACTATTGGACCAAAGAGTCCCTGACCTACTATGTCACCAAAATTACTGCTAGTGTCATTTAAAGTTTTCTGAAAGGTCTCATCCAAGTTCTAACCTGGGCATCCACATTAAGCCTGTAAGATCTGACAAGTTCACAATCTAAGCTGGCATGGCTTCGTGCCCCCCCCCTTTACATATTTAGCCATGAAAAATAAGCACTCTCCTCTATCTAATCTGTCTTCCCATTGCCCAAGATCTCTAGGGTTAAATAAAAATGGCAGGAAGAAAGCCTGATGTATTTTTAACCTTCATATTTTCCATAAACCCTGATGACTAGTTAAAATTGTGTGTTTAATCACCCAGGATCTCCTAGTTCTAGTTGCGCTATACTCTTGGGTGAGCCTAAACTATCCATCTAAACCAAGTAACACTGTTTGTTCTTGGATTGCCAATAGTATATTGATCCAGTCATTGCTGCCTAATACTATTACTGAAAATGAGGAATGACCCTAACTGGGAGAGCACACCTCATTTAACAATGGATATTTAAAAAACTTGGCCCCCGAGGTCTCCAAGAGTCCCATTAAATGTGGAATGTTATTTTTTGATATTATCTGTAACATGAGTTGGTAACATAAGATAAAAAAGACTGTATGTGAAAGACAGGTCATTTTTATTGAACTTCTCCCTAAACAGCTGATAAACTAGTCTTGAAAAGATCTTTGAAAGTACCTGTAGCCAACAAAGAGATGCAATTACACTTGTATAATACTACTGTGATTTTTTTAATATAATGTGCTAATACATTGTCCAGTGTTTCATTTGGTGCAATTTCACCAGAATTACAACACTTTCCAAAGTAGATCTAGCCAATATCTGATTGATTCTGGTCTGTGGGGATTGGATCAGTTCAGAGTAATTTCCTCTCTTGTTGCTTTCATTTCTATTAGAGAGGCTTTTGGTTCATGGAAATCGATAGCCTTACACATGCAAAATGTTAGGTTATTTTTTAGTAAGTTTCATTTGTGCCTGTATCATACAGAAAATATATTTTCCCCCTCGGAATATGTGCACTGCATGTTAGTTATTTGGCAGACTCCAAACTCAACTCATAGACAAATATTCATTTACCCTTACAATAAATAAATAAATAAAGTGTGACGAGGGAAAATGTAAATTACTATGAGAAGGCTGAAGATATTTTACACATACAAATTCCAGAATCTGCCACTTAAAATGTAAATTGGACTTAACTGTTTTGCAAATTGAGTCCTATTTGTCTCAGTAGAATCATTAAAGCTATGATTTAACCCCAAAATGGACTTTATTATTCCATTTAATTATACTGGAGGATTTAGGTACAAGCCTCTAACAATCTATTCCTTTAACACTGTGAATGTTGGACAAACAAATAATTGACTGTGTACATAGGATAGCTTTATTTTTGTAAGAAATATGTTTCTAATATTTTCCTTACTTATTACAGAAATTGAAACAAGCTGAAAAAACAAGGGAAGATTCTGAGACTAGATTATCTAAAATTTCCCTGGAGTCTCTCAATAAATTTAACAGCAATAATGTCATTTTATTAGAAAAAGAGAAGAATTGTCTGAACAAGGTTGAAGGACAAAAGGAAGAAAATGGAAAGAATGAAGAAGCTTCTTTAAATAGCTCTGATAGGCATGGTGTAGACAATTTAGAATCTTTGAGTGATTCTTTATATGATAGCTTCTCATCCTGTGCCAGCCAAGGCTCTAATGATGTATAAAGACACTTTCCAGTGGGCTGAGAATGGAGCACTTAAGGAACTGAGGGGAAAAAAAGAAAGGGACAACTGTTGACAAACTTTATCCTAAATTGTTGGATTCACAGAAGGGTATTTCCTGACTTATTTTCATGACACAGCAATAAGGAAAGATAAGACTGCATTTATTGTGATGCATGAGACTGAAAATTGAACACAAAAGCTGTTATACAAAATGTCTTAATTTTGCACTTTTATGAATACTTGTACAGAAGTTGTAAATTTTTTTGAAAAAATATATTTGTAGGGAAAAAAAGCAATAAATATTAAATGGTGCCATGCTCCTGAAATGACAGATTACTAACTTTTAAAAGTTGATGTTAATATTAACAAGCAAAGTTAGTGGATTTTTTTAAAGAAAGATTTATAATTGTTCTAGTCTTAAAACTGTATGTAGAAACACTGCTTTAAAATAAACTTGAGCTTGCCAAATTGTCTGTAATAAACCTTCTTGGACCACATTTTACAAAATACACTTTGTAATTTTTTTTTATTTTAGTGCAATTTCACATAAGATTCTCTAGGGATATGTGCATTTTAGTTGGTGTAATTCCTTAACATGTATCTATTGATACTTCAAGAGGGTTTTGATGTTTGAGACAGTACAAGAATGGTTGGAATCAAATACCCAGATCCTACTACTACTTGTGCATCTGAGCAGCCCACTGAGTTCATAAAGAATGAAGTTACTTGTGTGCATAGTGTTTGGAAGATCGGGGTAAAAGTGATTTGCCATTTGACTTCAATGGGAGTTTTGCCTGAGTAAAGGATTGCAGGATCTGGACTTTATTTCTAACTGCAGTATTTACTTTTATAGTATACCTATTTCTCTTTCCGCTGTAACCATTTAATACGAATTTCTGAATGTGGTATGTTGATTTTTCACCCTCAGACCACCTTGATTTTAACTCCATCTAGGAATCCTGGAAAACTGAAATAAAATTCCTATTTGTGATAGAAACTTTTGTAAAACTAAAAAAAAATGTTTTTGGTGCTAACAACTCTTAATTCAACATATCTTTTTCCTATAAAGACTTTATATGTAAGGGGAAGTCTATTTCAAAGGTTATGTGTATTTTTTCTAGTTGTGAAGTATTTATAACTGCTTTTGTACAGCAATCTCTCTGTAAACTAGGTATATTTGGGATATTTCTAGACTTTACTGTTTCTTTAGCAAATACCTGTTAATCTTTATGATATTGTATGATCAGTGTTATTTTGTTAAAATACTTTGTGCAATTTGTTACATTTTAATTTTGTTATTTTAAGTAATAATGTCAGACTTAAACTTGCATTGTCCTTTTGAAACTTATTTCTAAATAAAGTTCATATCACAGTTACAGGAATGGTTAAAGATATATATTTTCCCAGGGACAAGTAGTCCATGTTGGGGTTAATTTGTTTAATGAGATGGATTCACGAATTAATCGTCCAAGAAAATATCATTGCTTCAAGCAAAGCCAAAGAAGCAATGAGAAGCAAATAAAATAACTTAGAAATATTTTGAATAAAATAACCAATTCTATGATACCCTCTGCATGCAAAACATTGTGCAAACCATTTCCCTTCTCCAATCAACTAGCCCTCGCTGCTCCAGAAATAATAAATGTGCAGCTGGAATTCAATCATTCAAATGAATTCTCGACATGGCAACTAAAAAGTAATTTAAGCTTAATTCAAACCTCTCTGCTTGCAGACAAGATTGTGACTGATCAAAGGGAAGCATGTGGGTTGCCGAAGGAGGCTGGGGAACGAGGCATGATGCAAGGCGCAAGTTGTAATGGGCTGTACAATGAAAACCATCATTTTACTTCAGCTAGTTCTTCATCTCACAAATGAAGTTCGCAGCGGATTGTAGGCATGAAAGGCACCGCCACGGGGGATGGCCCCAGTAGCCTCCACTCGCTTCCACGTTATGCCAGACGACAGCTTGGAAGGGACAGTCACTGAAACGCTCCTCGCTGCGGCCCGTGTGGCGGCACCTTTGGGGGGTAGGGTCCTGCCCTGCCCCGGCTCCAGATCCGCCGGGCGGGCGGCTCAGCTGGGAAGGCGCTTTATGGCTGCAGGCAGCGCTTTCCAGGGAGTCAACATGCACCCACCATGGCACGGGACCGCGGGCTCCTCAGCAGACAGGGCTAGGGGCACGAGGCGCGCTCAGCCGGCGGGGGCGGGCATGCTCCGGAGCGCTGCGAACTACTGCACGCGGGCACCGCCCGGGGGGGGAGCCGCGCTGGGTCACAGCTCCGCTAGCCAGCAATGAGCGTGCCCCCGCCTCCCCTCGAGCCCGCTCGCCCCCCACCCGGCCGAGGCCTCCCGCACGTTCTCGACGGGCACGCGGCTGTGTCCCCCCCCCCCCACTTAGAGAGGGGTGTGAGGGCGAGAGTAACCCGGACCAAAGCCTTTCGGGGGGGGAGTTACCCTGCAAGACAGAGCAGAGAGGCGCCTTCCTACCAAACACACGTGGCTGGGGTATGGTCAGTTCCCCCCAACACACACACATCGGTGGTTGGGTTAGAGCCCCTCCCCCCCCGCACCTCCGCTGAAACACAGGTGGAGAGGTTAAGGGCAGCGCCTCCCCAACACACACTGGGGGGTTAGGGTCAAACACCCCCCCCAACACACACAGAACTAGGTAACTTAGGGACCGAGGCCCCCTACACTGGTAACCTCCCCCATGCCAGGGGAGGCGTTGGGGGTGAGAAGCTGGAGGTTCGTGACCGCCCGTCTGTCCCCACGGGTCCCTGCGGTGTGGGTGGCGGGCAGCCGAGCCCCTGCCGCCTGGGAGGTGTGTGCTGGTTAATGGCAGAGCCCTCCCTGCAGACACACACGGGGGGGGGGGGAGAATGCAGAGCGGGGGACCCAGCACCCCCTGCAAGGAACCCCCCCTCCAACCGCCGGGGGGGGGCTCCCTACCCTTCCCAGACCGCGTGGGGCTGCAGCGCAGGGACAAAGCCCCGCAGCCCAGGATGGGGCAGGGGCAGAGCCCGACCCACCGGCCAGTGTGTATCAGTAGCTCAGCGCCTGAGCCCCCACCGCCTTGGGGAGGGGCTCGGCTAGGTAGTGACCCCCCCACACACACACACGCATTAGGGGCAGGAGGGGCAGGAACACCCGTTCCAAGGGGGGGGGAGTCTTTCGATCAGCGCCGGCGGGGGGTGGGGGGGTGGGAAGGCTCCCTCCCCTCCTCCCCCAAGAACTTTCTCCCTCCCCCTTTCCCGAGTGTGCCGGGAGGCCCCCTCTCCCCTCCCCTGTCACATGGTGCGGGGGGAGGGGGGCAGAGGGAGACTTTTCTCTCTCCGACTCCCCCCCAGCTCCGGCCAGTCTCCGCTCCCAACTCCTGGAGGCAGCGCGGAGCCGGGCGGGCGATGCGGGCTCCCGGAGCTGCTCTCCGCAGCGGCGCGGGGAAGAGGCTTGGCGGCACCGCGCCCCGGCTGCCCGACTGCTTCTGATGCGCCGCGGCGGGGGCCGCGCAGCCCGGGGTCCCGGCTCCACGAGGATGTGGCTCCTCTTCGGCGCGGCAACTTTCTGGGGATTGGTCCTGGCTCCAGGTAGGAGGCGCGGGGCAGCGCGCCCCTGGGGGCCGGGGCAGGGCGTGGCGTGGGCAGCGCCCGGCTCTCCCCGGCGCCCGCAGCAGCTCCCCGCCGGTCTCGGCGCTGCCACCCGCTCCCCGCCACGCTGCGAAGTTCGCGCTGCCATTCAACAGCTGCTGGCAGCAACTCCGCTGGGAGGGGCGGCCCCTTCCCCCGGCACTGCGCCCGGCGGGGAGCCTCTGCCCAGCCCGTGCCCCGCTGGCCGCCCGCCCTCCCCTGGGCAATGCACCAGCCCCGCTGGTGCGCGAGGCTCTGCTCAGCTGTGGGGCATCGCTCGCGGATCGCAGTCTCCAGCACTGAGGCCAGCTCCCTGCGCAGCGCTCGCCCCCCGTCCCC